ACAGCACAGCCCCAGATGCGAGCACGCTCAGAGGCAGCGACTGCGTGCGGACATTCGCGCGAAGGGCACGTGTCGACAACATCACAGCCACGAAGTACAGAAAGCATGTGGCCACTATGCTGCAGCTGCTGCAACTGAGCGAGACCGAAATGGATATCGTGGCCCGCTTTATGGGGCATGACATACGGGTCCACAGGCAGTTCTATAGACTTCCCGAAAAGACGGTGCATGCTGCCAAAGTGAGTAAAATACTACTCGCGGTGGACAAAGGGATCGGCGGATTCGCAGGAAAGATCCTGGATGACCTTGACCCCAGCAGTGACGCTGTCGTCGAAGGTGGTCCCGCTCCCAGTGTCGACATGAAAGACAGCGCCAGCAGCATTGCCCCTGACGACATGAGGGTGAGAATGGAGGTGAAGAACGCTAAAGAGATGGCTTCCGATCCCCAAGCTGAAGCAGAAAACAAACCACCCAGGGGGCCAAGGATTAATGAAAGAAGGCCCAAAGCCAAAAGGAAGGTCGTGCTGTGGACTGAAAGAGAAAAGGAGGCTATACAGAGGCGCATGAAGCCATTTATTGGTTCTCTGAAGTGCCCTGGAATGGCAGACTGCCTAGCGGCACTGAAGGAGGAGTCTGCACTGTCCCGGCGTTCCTGGAAGGATGTTAAGTTCTGTACATACAATATGATCCAGAAGCACAAGCGTGCCATGGAAATGTAGTTTCCGCTGAAAGCTTGGAGTGCTCCATATCTAGATCCCCTGCTGCGTTGCGTGCAGTCGCTGCCTTGCGGTGGCAATGTTCTTTTACCTGCAAGCTCGAGAGGCTCCGGACGTTTGATCCTCTGTTGTGTTATGTTGCAAACCCTGCTTTGCGGTGTGGTTGTTTGACCCGTTTGCAAACAAACTAAGAAATATTTTGCAAAAGAGTGTGTTTGTAGTGGACCGTGATCGGGACTGATGGATTTGCTGTCTCATCCTGCCCTCCCCACATGGAAATAAGACAAAAACTAAAAATGAATAGTAGAAAGCCCCCGTCGGCAGACCTCAACGTTGCCTTACAGAGTGCAGTGAATGACCTATGTCAAGAAGTTTGAAACCGATTTTGTGACCCGTATAGATGACTGACCTGACCTGCCCCAGATCGTCGTCGATCTGGATTCGTCGATCATCGTCGATCAGGACTATCGATTGATCGTGGTTGTCATCGTCTTCATTAGGGCTTTACGACGCACTCACCTGCTGAGGTCATATGGCGTCGCCTGACACTCTAACCAAGGCAGTGATTTGTTATTGTGATTGCCCTACATCTATGCCGTGGGCTGGTCAGACAGGTACCGGCCATGTACCGAAGGCAGGGGTAATGAAAAGACATCAGCGGAAGAACTCGGAATGTTGGAAAATGCAAGGAGGTTCAGATTTTTGTACTGTTCTCATTTTACGCATTATTCGTGCTTTGAAATCAGCCACCTAAATGTGATGTAATACCACATAGTTTCGCAACCTTTAATTCGCACACAATGTTATGCGTCTTGTCTTGACAAAGTTTTGGCGTCAACTCGGAAAAAATTTCGAACACAGACGAAGAGACATAATTTTGGACCGTAATGAAAACCAAGAACAAGGCATAACATGTAGCATAAGAGTAGGCATAAGAAGTGAAAATCATCCGTTGCAAACCGAAAAGATGCGTGTAGCTCTTGCCACGCGTCGAATATGACAATATAATACAATAAAATACAAATATAACAACATAATGCAACATAATGGGAACATCACATAACATTGCAATAAAATGTAAACATAGCATTATTTAATGCAATGTAGTGCAGATATAACAATAAAATACAATATAATACAAATATGAAATAATGTAACACAGATCAACATAAATATCACGGCTCCTTCCAAAACAAAGGATGTGCAGGCAAAAGCATCGGCAACCAAGTTCCAGTTCTCTGTCAGTTGGTTCGCCAACGTGACTGAACCGACGTTGTCGCCCAAATTCCCTTTCTTTCCATGTCATCAATGAAGACAATTTAGATACACATTACAATGAGGAGACCGGTCCCTAGCTTGATAAGTGTAAGGCATATGACGCACCTTTGACGTCATGTTAGCTGGTCCCCGCTTCGCAGCATCCTACGGATATTGATCCCTTATCGCTAGAGCTACGAAATGCTTGCCATCGCACTCTTCGGGCGTTCAGCAGCACTAAGATGTTAATTTCGTAACGCCAGCTCATGTTTAAAGAGGTGTGTAAGTGGTCCCCACTCGGTAGTAGTCCAGCGCGGTCCCCACTTGGGAGGGCTTACAAACAGGTGTGTGTGTGTGTGTGTGTGTGTGTGTGTGTGTGTGTGTGTGTGTGTGTGTGTGTGTGTGTGTGTGTGTGTGTGTGTGTGTGTGTGTGTGTGTGTGTGTGTTCAGGCAGTTCTCTTCCCAAGTGTGCAAAGACATTCTGCTGAAGTTTCCGTGCCGCTTAAGACCGCCGGCAAACTTTTGCACACGCCATGCCCACTCCGAAGGCTGCCGCCTCCATTGAAGTGTTCATTGCAGCGCCATAGACTGAATAGCTGTTCAAAGATTGCCTGTCAGCACCAAGAGTAGAAAAGTTTCGATCCAATTATTTACCAAGTCAACATTCTGGCAGGACACTGACAGTTACATCCATTGTTTCAAAGATGAGGGCTGCATATCGGCATGCGCGACTCATCAGGAGCATGCATGCTTGATATTGCAACACTATCATGTTAATGACAAATGAAGATGCGCACTGCCCGCATTACTGGAAAATGTGTTTCACGATATTATACGTAACTACAGATATTAGGTGGTTGACGCAAAAAGCATCGTATTAATGAGCCATTAGGTTAACACGCGCCCGGGTGGCCGGTCGAGCGTGGCGCGCTTCGGTAGGTCAATGTGAGTGCTTCCTGACATGTCAAAAACTGAGAGAGAGACACCAAACTCACAATGCCGGTAGGACATTGTGTGGGCTCACTTGTGACGAATTTTTAACTCGCTAGGCTGTGGCTTTTGAGTCAAATTAAGTCCAATACAGGGAAGCTCGAGATCAGTGTCTACAGTGGCCTGAGACCTCCTCACGGCACCCATGCATGTTTAAAACTTGATGCCTTCACAAAGCAAAAGGAAAGCTACGTTCATATCATCCAGTTCAGTGACGCTTTTTGACATCAAAAGGTCAGAATTGCCAAAAGCCTTCGAGATTATTTTGATATTTGACTTTGCAACAGGTGACAACTCATAGTGGCAAGTTCCTCAAAGAAAAAATATTGATCGAGGTTATTTAATGCCAGTGATCTTCTCGGACCGTCATTGACTGAAATTAAAGAATCCGTTAGTATCCTTGCGAATAATTAATTCGAAATGGTTGTAAAAACTCCCGAATGAAGGTAGCTTCCAGGGGATAAATAGCTTGGTTGACCTTTATCTACCCTTCATGAACGACCCAATAATATCAGTGGAATTAGTCTCAATGCTATCTTTCATTCCCTTACTGTCCAAAGAAACTTCGAACACATTTTTTTTACTTCGTCCAGCACTTCGTTACCGCTTCCGTTTGACAGATCCCCCGTCAGTTTCCTTCTTTTACAGCTGTGCCCTTGCTTCCACCTGCTACATATCATCAACCCATTGTATCTAACTTAATACCAACAGAACTTTGTATAAAACTGCATCGCATTCAATTCTCCACAGCCCGACGAATTCAGCAGGTCTTCACCGCAACGCCCAAAAGCTATTTTGGAAAACCTTGTGGGTTCAAACTATCCCTCACTGTGCCCTATCGGCTGTTAAAGAGCCCTTGAGGGGTCAAACTGTCCCTCACCGTACCCGATCGCGTGGTAAAGGACACTTGTCTGCCGTGGCATGAAAACAACCAGCTTTCAGATTCTGACCGCATGTAAGCTGACCGAATATCCTCCGCGTATAGAGGGGTGAAAGTGGTCTTCTGTTCAATGTCGGTACGAATGTCGTTTCAGTGCAAAGTGCAATCTGTTTCTGTTTTAAATCGGTACGAACATGCGTGTCTCGAAGACGGTAAGATTGTTTGCAGAGCCTTGTATAAGTAGTTTCCTCCATATGCAAAGCTCGCCATTGCGAGGTCAAGTGCCAATTTCTGTCCCCATAGAAATATTTACTCCTGGTTTTGTGATTTTAGGGGCGCTTTGTCCCCAATGTTGAGGGAACGGAAAAATATAGAGGGTTTGTGGTCAGGGCATCTCAATGGGGGCGCAGGGCTCTACCTATGGATGCCCCTACAGCTCGCAGCGTGCATGATGTGTCAGAAATAATACTCAGTCGACGTTATGATGTTAGCCGAATAAGAAAGCTGTGTTGTTGCATCGGCCGCACTAGAGCCGGTGTTTCAGCGTTATGATAAAGCCACGATGTGTTGTCCAGATGAAGATCGGTCCGTCATCTGGCTAAGCAGCTCATATCCAAAACACCAACCACGCAGTGCGTACCGCCTTCGTGGAAAAAAAAACACGCGGGAGCTCCTGATGCTCTGAGCGAATGCTGGCAAGCATATCTCTAGTGACAACTCATGTGTCAAATAAGAGCAATATAGACATCAGTCCCGGCAGAACGCCAGAGGGCTTATTATGACGTGCCACTCTCTGTCCCTTTCGCTCTGCGTCGCTGTGCCTTTCTCGCACGATGTGCGTGCGGCCGAATGATGGCAGCGACCGGGAGGCGACGGCCGAATGATGACAGCAACCGGGAGGCGACGGCCGAATGATGGCAGCGACCGGGAGGCGACGGCCGAATGATGGCAGCAACCGGGAGGCGACGACCGTGTGATGGTAACAGCTGGGAGGCGACGACCGAGTGATGGTAGCGGCCGGGAGGCGACGACCGAGTGATGGTAGCGGCCGGGAGGCGACGACCGAGTGATGGTAGCGGCCGGGAGGCGACGGCCGAATGATCGCAGTGACCGGGAGGCGACGGGTTGTTCTAATGGGCTCTCCCGGCGTCCCTCACCTGACGTTGTTGTGCCGCTGCACGTGCAGGTCGTGGAACTGCTTCTTGGCCGACTTCTCGACGCGCACATCGGCCATTTTCAGCATGATGGCTCGCTTGACCTCGGCCGCGATGTAGGCCGGGATGACGCTCAGCAGTAACTGCTCCTGAAGTAGTGGAAAGCAACGCTAGAGACTTCCGACCAGGGACCGTCTCTGTCATGTACGCACGGAGTGTGAAGGGCGGCGCTGCAGGCGGCCAAACCGGCCCCCAAATACGGCTGTCGACGGTGACAGCGGTTCCGCAGAACATTGCATCAATTACGCTGGATGATAAGGCTTATTGCAGGCTCACTTTATCATAACAGTATGGTGACTGACTCGGAATGTTGCTGTCCCTACGTCAGGCATCTTGCACGCGTCGTTACGGTCTCATGTCTCATTACGAAGACGATAGCGTTAATTTCCGTTTGAAATAAGTATTTTCTGTTGCTATTTCTGTTGCCAAACCAAAAACACAATTTAACGGTGAACTGTTCGGATGCATCTCGATACAATCGATTATCACCACGGATGTTTGAGGAGGTGAAATCCTGTTTAGTTTCATGGAGTGAGACTGTCCACGTCAGCACATAAAGCAGGATTAACCTATGACGGAGCAAGAGTACTCCACAAGGCAGAAGTACAGCTTCCATTTTCTTAAACGCATGTGTGCGTAGCGGCGCGAGGTCAAAGCTGTGACGAGCGGGTCACCGCCAGGTGGTTCGAACATGCATGGTGGTAAAGACTACATATGTCTAGTATTCTATGGTGATTGTATGTGTTAACAGTTTGTTCATGCCGTGTTGATGGTGGACAGTGTTGTCAGTGCATATGTCAGGGATTGGCCATCACTGTCTGGTGTTCGCTAGTCCGCTGACGTCTGGGAGATGAGCATACTTCGGAAGGACGTCCTTTGATATGCTGACGTCTGGGAGATGAGCATACTTCGGAAGGACGTCCTTTGATATGCTGACGTCTGGGAGATGAGCATACTTCGGAAGGACGTCCTTTGATATGCTGACGTCTGGGAGATGAGCATACTTCGGAAGGACGTACCTTTGATATGCTGACGTCTGGGAGATGAGCATACTTCGGCAAGGACGTCCTTTGATATGCTGGACGTCTGGGAGATGAGCATACTTCGGAAGGACGTACCTTTGATATGCTGACGTCTGGGAGATGAGCATACTTCGAAAGGAACGTACCTTTTGATATGCCTGACGTCTGGGGAGATGAGCATACTTCGGAAGGACGTACCTTGATATGCATGACGTCTGGGAGATGAGCATACTCGGGAAAGGGGGACGTTCGCTTTGAATATCGCTGACGTCTGGGAGATGAAAGGCATACTTCGGCAAGGACGTACCTTGGATATGCTGACGGTGCTGGGAGATGAAGCATACTTCGGAAGGACGTCCTTTGATAGGCTGAACGGCCGGTGGGAGATGAGCATAACTTCGGAAGGACGTCCTTGATTATGCTGACGTTCTGGTAGATGAGCATACTTCGGAAGGACGTCCTTTGTATCGCTGAACGTACTGGGAGATGAGCCAGACTTCGGAAAGGACGTCCTTTGATATGCTGACGTCTGGGAGATGAGCATACTTCGGAAGGACGTCCTTTGATATGCTGACGTCTGGGAGATGAGCATACTTCGGAAGGACGTCCTAGTCCGCTGACGTCTGGGAGATGAGCATACTTCGGAAGGACGTCCTTTGATATGCTGACGTCTGGGAGATGAGCATACTTCGGAAGGACGTCCTTTGATATGCTGACGTCTGGGAGATGAGCATACTTCGAGGACGTCCTTTGATAGGCTCAGTCTGGAGATACATACTTCGGAAGGACGTCCTTTGATATGCTGACGTTTGGGAGATGAGCATACTTCGGAAGGACGTCCTTTGATATGCAAGTGGAGAGTCACCCCAGAAAAAAAAGATTCGTCACACACCACAGAGACACAAGGTCAAGCCATTCGCTGGCTACGCCCGATTGGCAAGACAATTTCTGATAGAAGCGGTTGCTCCTGTTGTGGCTTTCTGCCGCGGAGTCCTTTTTTCTCATCGTCGCTTCCGTTGCTTTTGTGTTCGTACTTGGTCCAAAACTCGCATTTTTCACTCGAGTTTAGTTGATCTCTTCCCATTGACCCCCTATGGGAAGTGCGGAATACGCAAGAAGGATGACACCGGCACAGATTAGAACTCGGCCTCCGACATTAATACGTCCTTGGACACAGATGACGGAGGTACTGCCGGCCCCGCTTTGGCCGCAGCATCGCCTGATGACTCTTGCGCGCCCCAGGCCATGACCGTTGGTACGCACACTTCCACCACGGTGGCTGGACAGCAGACGTCTCCTTCCAACGCCCCCGGTTCCGACCCTCGCTCGTCTTTGACCACTCCGGTGTCTGCTCGTCCTGATGCTGACCCTCGCTCGACGACGACCAGTGTTTGCCTGCCCTCTGAACCAATTCTGGATTCTCTCGGCTGTTACGTGGTTGTTCAGCCTTGTGATGGGAACGTGTCATTTCGGAAGATCAGCGTTTTCTGGCCATCAAAGCAAATCAAGACTATCTGCGGTTCATGCGAACTCAAAATTAAAGCACCGGCAAACGGATCACTCAACATTAACACGCGCTCGGGTGGGGTGGGGGTAAATTGACCCTACCCCCCCCAAATATTTTTCCAGACTGGTTCCCGAACGGCGCTGCGAAGGTGCGCCAAATTTTGAATAGCTGTAGAAAATTGAATAGCGGATGGTTTGACACCAACAATTCACATGTACCTTGTAAGGTCGCTGACCTATGAAAGTCAAAGTCAGGCCATGGTTTCAGCTAGGTAAATCTCTAGGAAATCCTTCAATCTGATCCAACATCGAGGTGTTAGACGAAGCCATACATCACTGAGATGCTTTCTTAGGTAACCCAATAGTTGAATGAGCAAATTATATTGACATAAGGCCGGGTATGAAGGTCACACGAAGGTCCAAACTAACCTGTTTTGTCACTCTAGGGCTTGTGGTATGGGATAGTTTCTGGTGCTCATTTCGAATTTGTTGATAGCAGGAACCGCATTATACATCTTCCATGGTTTTCCTAAAGGTCAGAATAGGTCATTGACCTAAAATGAACCAGGTCAACATTTTGTTTTAGGAACATACTGCCTACCCGTAATCTCCCTTGCTTAGTCAAATGCAAAACTCAAAACAATCTTGCACGAGTTTGGTCACCTTGACATTCAAAAGGTCAAAAAGATCGCTAACTTTGAATGAGCAATGCGACCCTCCGCTTAGAAACGGTTATCTAGGTTCTGGGGGCACTTTGGAGACCAACCTGGACTTGACCTTGTTTGACCTTGTTTGACCCAAAGGTCATGACCTAGGAGCCTTAAGTTTGACCTAAGTGAGTTCACGTACAGGTCAACACACCCTGTAAATTGGGTGTTTCTAGCTTTCTTAGTTCCCGAGATCTCAGAGGGTGCCAAATTCCCCCCCCCCCCCCCCCCCACCCGAGCGAAGGGTATCTAACCGCCCACCCGGGCTCGTGTTAAAGCAACCACTAGCGCACAAACCAGGACCATACTCAAAACAACTGAATTTTGTGCCAAACAAGTCCAGAAATACCAGTAAAGGCACCATATTCGCGCCTGAGCTCCGTTTCATGACGGAGGACCAGATCCTGGCGGAGCTCAGAGACGAGCAAGTTTGCAATGTCCGACGGCTGACAGCTTTCAGAGATGGTCAGCGTCGCGACACCAGCCCGCTCGTTATTACCTTTGCTACCACCCGACCTCCAGAGACGCTTACCGCTGGTTACCTTTGTTATAAAGTGAGAGTATTCATTCCAAATCCACTCAGGTGTTTCAAATGTCAATGGTTCGGACACGGCGGCAAGTATTGCAAACAGAGTGCCAGATGCTCGAAGTGCGGCGAGACCCCTAACGAGGGGTTTGCCTGCACACCACCCCAGAAATGTCTGAGCTGTGGCAGTGGTGATCACGCCGCCAACTCCTCTCAGTGTCCCGCATGGAAAAAGAAAAAGGAAGTTCCTCTGAAAAGGCAAAGACAGATGTGTCGTACCCCGAGGCACGGCGCACTATTCAATCAAAAATGGCGTCGCAGTCTAGCAAAACATATGCACAAGTAGCAAAAGCCACGATGGCCACGTATGGAACACAGACTTCATTCCTCATCTGCCTCCCCTGAAGCTTTTCACCCCACGCCCCTCGGTTTCGTCTGAGTCAATTACACAAACACAGACAAAAAATGTCCTTGAGTCACCCCTGGCTGGGCGCTCGGATACGCAGGCGCCCGTGCCCCCCCCCCCCCCCCCCCCCCCCCCAGGTTGGCCGGCGTTCCAGGCCGCCGGCTATGCGTGATACACGTGCGGCTCAAGCTGTCCGGTGTCCCAGCCCTCCGGCTATGAACAGTGGGCAGCCCGGTCCCTCTGGCCACCACACGAACGTTATCTCCCCTCCCCCACCACATCTGTCGCAACACGCCCGAACGAAGACCGCCGGTCCCGTCCACCAGTGAGGGTGGCGACGGGACGGTCTCGTTCTGTCTCGTTCGGCTGGTTCCCATCAACCGGTGGGGATGGGTCTCTTCATCATTAAATGTCCTTCATATTACAGTGGAATTGTCGCGGGCTCATTTCAAACTGGTCTGAAATGAAAGAAAGCACTTTGTGCCGTATTAGCTCCAATCATCATTACCGTGAATGAGGCATGATTTCGCCCCACGAACACAGATAACTTTAAAATGCCAACTTACTCGTTATATCGCTGTGACGCCACGGACGGTGAGCGTCGCCAGGGTGGGGTGGTGCTATACATCAGTCAAGAATTAACACACGCCACTCACTCTTTACCCACCTCTCCAGGCTGTTGCATGTTCAGTTCGGCTGCATGGCCGTATCATCCATATATGCACAATATACATTACACCAGACCATAAAAACACGGAGCTCTTACGGCAGCTTGACCAACTCATTGTTCATTTTCGAACCCCTTTTCTCACCCTCGGTGACTTCAACGCTCACAGTCTAGCGTGGAGTAACGACACCCAGGCCGTCGATCGCCGATGATATATATTTGAACGCTTTATTGGTGCACGTAATTTAGTCCTGC